GGCGTAGGAGAAAACAACAGCCTTAATGTACTCTAGTTGTGTGGCTTAGTAAACTGCTGACTGTGTAAGGTGCAGAATTTGATTCCCCAGCACTGGGCACGTTTAAGGTTGGGCTGGATGGGGTGCTGGGCCTGCTGCTCTCCATCAGGCTTTGCCTAGAAAGGTTGGACCAGCTGGTCCATGAGATCCCCTCAACCTGGTGTTCTATGATTCAGAATCTGATGCAAGTCAGCCAGCATGCTCAGATCAAGGCTGGGGAGCGAGTGTGAGGCATGAAGAGCTAAAGTACTGGCCTTGTCACTGCTGGACTCTTTTAGATGCTTGGTTAATCATATTGAACTGATTCAGAATCAGTTGTTTAGTTGATAAAGTTCCTTTAACCATAGAGTGAGTGAAGAAGGAAGGGTTCTTAGTTGGCTACTCCAGGAAGTGTACGGTTTCAGCTTTGGCACAAGTGATTATTTGTCTTGATAGCAGCACAGTTGACTTAATTAAAACACTGTCCACATACCTGCCTTGCTCTGCTGGAGAATACTGTTACCCAAGACAACAGAATCCTTGTTCAACATGCAGGATTATGCTTAACTCGCTTTTCATTCAGCTTTTCCCCCTCTCTGTACTGCACATACATTGTATATCCCACAACCACAGTGCTCTGCTGCATGGTATGTGCTCCTGAATGATGCTGCTGTTCAGCTGCGTGGCTCAGTCCAGACCCCAGGGATCCTCCTTCTTTCTTCTTTTCTAATGCCCAGTGAGGGTGGTCTCACTCCCTGACTATCCTACAAGCACCATAATAGATGATTGAGTGCTTATTTGTGGAAATACGGGTGCATTAGAGTCCAGAGTACACTGTGGACCAAATGAAATTAATGATGGCCTTTAGCTAAAGACACAAGGTTAAGCCTGTATTCAACACAGGGCCTCCCACTGCTTGGAGTGGGGCAAACTTGTGTCAAAATAAAGATGGGAGCCCAGTCTTTGCTTATAAAACAATCCTCATTGCTCCAGTGTTTTCATCTCAGTGACACTTATTTATAGTGCAGTGATGAATTGAACAACCCCCCTGCTTTGGTATTGCAGTGTTTGGCTGGGGGAGTGGATTAATTCTTGCCTTTCTGAATTGAAGTCCAGGTTCCCTATACAATGACTCTTGGCACTTAAATTCATTTTGGCTTTTCAGTTAACACAGAACAAGCTAATAAGGAAAATTACCAACCCATATCCAGTGTTTGAGACTGAACCTCAGAGGATAGGTTGTTCTCCCAGGCAGAGTTATCTGCTGGCATCTGCAATTTTGGATGTTTTCTTGCTAAATATAAACTGAATGTGCACAAAAGTGATCAAAATGCTTTGGGAAGACTCAATGCTTGACATGGAGAAGAACATAAGGAAAGGTATATGTGTAGTGGAAAGTAATTGCTCAGTGCTGGCATTGCAGCAGCTGGCCTAGCCTGGCTGGGCCAAATTTCTTATCACTGCATGTTCTCCAACGCAAAGGATCTAAATTCAGAAGGAATCAAATAGTCTCATGAACATGCAGCTGAAATGTTTAAAGCTGCAGATTATCATGTTCAAATGACTGCATTTGCCCTGTAAAGAGCTTTCCAGTATAAAGAGGAAACCCAGTACACCTTAATCTTGTGAATACATCCTTAGGAAGTACAGCAGCTGGTGAAAGTTGATGTAATAAATGATGCAGAAATGGTTCTCTTGGGATAACTGGGCCACTTGGGGGGGGGTGTGTGTGTCTGGTAATTAGAGTTGGAGGAGGAGTTCCATCAGCTGGAATATCTCTGTTCATTTTATAGTCACTGCTGAAATTGTCTACTTTATCCAAAGTATATGAGTGGGTTTTCTTCCCTGTTTTATCCTGAAAGAAGGAGAAGAAAATATATTGTCTTATGTCCTGTAGGGTGTCTGTACCAAAGAGGTAATGGATATGTATGCTGTTACAATGGAGTATTATAGTGTAGTAGCATGCTCTAGTGAGTATCTTTCTCCTATGGAGCCAGGCTGAGAGAGCTGGGCTGGGTCAGCCTGGAGAAGAGAAAGCTCCCAAAGGGGAGACCTTAGAGTAGCTCCAGTGCCTAAAGGGGCTCCAAGAAACCTGGAGAGGGGCTTTGGACAAGGGATGTAGGGACAGGCCAAGGGGAATGGCTTTAACCTGCCCGAGGGGAGACTGAGATGAGCTCTTGGGCAGCAGCTCTTCCCTGTGAGGGTGCTGAGGTGCTGGCACAGGGTGCCCAGAGAAGCTGTGGCTGCCCCATCCCTGGCAGTGTTCAAGGCCAGGTTGGACACAGGGGCTTGGAGCAACGTGCTCTAGTGGAAGGTGTCCCTGCCTGTGGCAGGGGTTGGGTCTGGTGGAGCTTTAAGGTCCTTTCCAACACAAACCAGGCTGGGATTCTATGACTGCATCTTAAAACCAATGACAGTTCCTTCTGGTCAGTGAGAGGTTTTTCCTCTCCCACTAAGCCCTCTGGGAACCCCACACCAGGCATGTGCTATTTTTAAAAGAAAGTTAAACCTAAACATTAATCTTTGGATTTTTGTAAAGGTTGTAAATGCAGGTGGTTATTGGGAGCTTTCCTAAAGGGGATTGACTCTCTCTTGAGTTTGGGGCTTCTTTTGAAAATGCTTTGTATGTTTCTTGGAGCTTGAAGACTTGTCCAGCGAGACCTCTTGTGCTCACTTACCACATGTGTAGTTATAGAGCTTTTCCCAAAGAAATGGAACAGAAACAGAGGCTGGGAAAAATACCACTTTTCTCCAAATGGTGTTTTCATCACCATTACTCATTCTAAATGCACATCATTTGACTGCATTTGAGGTTGAAGAGACTGTTCCTAGATACTTATCTCTGTGTGGACGGGCAGCTGGCCAGGAAGCGGCCAAGAAGAGAAGAAATACATTCAGCTGGTCACTTTCAGGAACAACATGGAGCAAAGCTCTTCATGATGAGGTGCTTTGGGTCTGCTGTTGTGCACCTGAAACCGAAGCAGTCATCTCAAGTTGCTCCCTGCCTGAAGAGTCAGCTGAAAATTAATAGCTAATGGAGAAGCGAAGGAAGAGCCAAAGTGGAACCAGATGGGCTTGTGACCACAGATACATCATCTCACTTCACCTGGGCCATGACACTGCTGATTTGTAGCAGTATTAGGGTTGTCTGTCTTCAGAAACAGTGAAAGATCTTCCTAAAGCTCCTTGCTTCCTGTCCACCTTTATTTATTTTATGAATGTGGAATGGTTTTGAGGTTGCTTCAACCAGGTCTTGAGTCTCAGATGCTGAACTCCTGTGAGAAGCACCGAGCTTTACATAAGTACTTTGTTAATCTGGGCCCTTCAGTTATCACTCCCACATTATGCCCTATATAGTCCGAAGTAAAGCACCTCAGACTAATGGTTTGGACTTTTTAGCACTGTCAGTAAAGTTACCAACCACTTCCTGATTTTTCCCTGGCGTGTATGTGTTTGCAGGGTGATTGTATGCTTTAGGTGTTGCATTTCTTGCTAGCCACATCTTTTGTCCTTTGGTTTTGGGTTTTTTTAGGTCTTCTCTGGTTATGTTGGTTTCTGTTCGTCCCTGCTTACTTTAACTAATATCCTCTGTGTGTTACTGCCTTGGGGTTGGGATTGGGAATGGTTTTGTTTCAGGCAGTTTCATCTCTTATATCTAGTGCATTGAAATAATTCATGCTTATACTTTGGGAGCTGCTGCACCTCGAATTGTTTGGGTTCTTTTCTCCTCTAGACTTCTCCCCTTTGAAAATGCACTCACCAGCTCACTGAAGAGCTGGCTGGAAAAGAAGAAAGCACATGTCCATATTTTCTTCATTCCTCCCTCCCCTTTTCATTTCTCATGAGTCGTGAATTCATCACTTCATGATTCATTTTACCCTCGATTGCCTTTTTTCTTCATGTTCTCAATCAGGTTTTCATCTCTACAATGGAGAATGAAATGCAGAAGAGATCCCACATTAGTTATTTCTTTTATCTTCTGTTTCAGCATGTTGTCACCAATATATTCAAGAACTTGCCAATTGTCCTATATCCTGTTGCTTTCCCAACTCGCTGTTGGGAAAGGGCATTTTACTTGAGTCCCTTTCCCTTGCAGTGAAATCTGGAATGTTTTTCCCAAGGGAAACACACAATGTGGTAATTGTTTAGTAATAGCTCCAGGAATTATTTGTTGATGGTCCCTTGGTGCCCTGAAATATGTAGAGAGAGGGAGTTCCCAGAGGAAGCACCAGTGTGGCCCAAGCCTGCACTCTGGGAGTATGGCTACTGATAACAGATATGGATATTGATCACAGGATATTGACATGGATGTTGATCACAAGAGGCCACGGGATGGAACTTGCTTGTGCTTGCATTCACGTTACCTTCAGGCTGCACAGTGTCATCTCTCTGCAGTACATCAAAGCCTCTCTGCCACGTTGAGAGCAGATCTTGTAGTCTTTCCCCACATGAAGCAGAGGGGCCAGCTGGGGATCTGAAGCCCTTAAAGCTACCTGCGTAGGAGATGTGTTTGACTTTCTGTGTGCACACACAGGTTTTTCTTAGCCAACGTGGTAATGTTTGGCCAGCTGCCTGGAAACTCTTCCAACCTCTACCCAGAGCAGGAGCCTGTGCAAAACCCGCTCTGGTGGATGGATGGTGGATGCTGTATTAGCAGCTCCCTCCTTTCCCTCCATTATAAATATTTACCTTTATTCATCAGTCCTTGACAATCACTTCACTGGCTGGCTTTGGCAAGCAGCTAACACTGAGGATGTATGTATTGAAGTGTACTGGACCACACTAGTGGTTAGGTGATGAAACCTGAAATTACTGGAGGTGGGAGCATAGGCCTGTGTTGTAAGTAAAGTGCAGCTTGTTTTAGTTCTGGTTTGAAAGGGTTTCTGGCTCTGGGGCAGATGTGGCTGTGAAGAACAAAATCTGTTCTTCAGGATGCTGATCCCTTTTAACCTGAATGTGTTACCCTCTCTGCCCTAACACAGGTCCCAAGCCTCTGTGAAGATCTCCTCTCCTCCGTTGATCAGCCATTGAAGATTGCACGAGATAAGGTGGTAGGAAAAGACTATCTATTGTGTGACTACAACAGAGATGGAGACTCATACAGGTGAGTTCATATCCAAAGCATGGAGCTGACTGGTTTACTTTGTAAACAAGAGCTCTGTACAAGGATTGCAGCCCCTTCTCCCTCTTATTTTTAGCCAAAATACAAGTTTAATGGTATTAAACTCAGTGGTGCAGCTGTGACTGTTTCAGATCCTCTTCTCTTTAGTAAGACACTGGTTACAGAAGTTGTTCTTAGTATTTTTCGAATGTGAGAGGACATAAACATCTTCATCTCCAGACCACTGTAGAGTGCCTCAGTTTGTGGCTGAGGAGTGGGACAGCCTGCTTCATCATGGGCTTCAGGGAAAGCTGCTCCAGTGCCTGGACCACCTCCTCCCTCCTTCTTCACTGACCTGGGGGTCTGCAGGGCTCTTGTTCTCACATATTCTTACTCCTTTCTCCAGCTTCAGTTGCTTCTGTGTGGCAGCTTTTTCCCCCTTCTTAAATACATTATCCCAGAGGTGCTACCACCAATGCTGATGGGTTTGGCCTTGGCCAGCAGCAGGTCTGTCTTGGAGCTGGCTGGCATTGGCCCTGTTGGAGATGGGGGAAGCTTCTAGCAGCCTCTCACGGAAGTCACCCCTGTAGCCCCCTGCTACTAAAACCTTGTCACACAAGGCTAATACAGTCCCCATGGTCTGTCTCCAGGAAGAGTTGTGTTTTATCCTAGAAACCACAGTGTTTCTGCACGTTTTCTTTACTGCAATTTACAGTCATTCACTGAAGCCTAAAATGTAGTGATAGCCTCTTGTTAAAAGGGTGACTAACGTACTTCTTTTCCTGTAGTCATTTATATATTGGAGAATTAAAACCAGTCACATCTCTAGAAGAAATGACTATGAGGGCCTTGAGGTGAAAATTATGGCCTTGTTATGAAATGAAACCATCTATTGTTGCAAGGTTGTAAAATCTGTGGCATGGATACCAACAGAAAAGAGGTGATGCAAGCACTCGGTTTAAACAAAATCATCTTCCCATACAAAGCAGGGGGGTTTGCCAGCTGGAAAAGGCATTTTCACTCCTGTTTTGCAAGGGATTGAGTCTGATTTTGGGCATGCAGTGCCATTAGTTCTGGATGAAAATCCTGGCCCAAGTGTTTAGCAAAGAAAAGGAATCCCTCTCTACCAAAATAGCTGTAGACAAACCCGATGGAAATATTTGACCAATATAAGTTGTATGCAATTATAACAGAATGAATTTTGAAGTAGAAGGGGCTGTAATACTGGAATGGTACAATGAGTTTCAGTATTTTGGCTGCCACTTTGAGCACAGTCTCTCTTTGAATGCATTTATTTTATACCTTGCCATTAGGATGATTACACTTGAGAGACTATAGTTGCTTCCCCCTCTTAGTTATCTTCCCCCTCTCCCCCTTTTCTGCACTGCCTGACTTTTCTTAACAGCTGCAGTGACCATGGCTTCATTCCAAATATGTAATTAGGAATCACAAAGCTCATAGTCCAGCAACATTGTGAATATTGCATCACCTCCCTTTGCCTCTCTTCTCTTAACGAAGGGCACTGGGCTTTGAAGTGATGACCACAAATCATCTTCTGCCCTGACTTACAGCTCAGCCGTCCCACGGCTTCTGGTTGTGATTATAAGGGTTACATCCATGGCTCTCCTTGTAGCTTGGGGGTAACAGCTTACGTTCTTAGTGCTAACATTTGGAACTGACCTACAGTCAGAATCCAGCTTTGCTTTGAACAGGTTTGCAGTAGGGTTTTACATTCATCTGGCCAGAATGGTTTAAGAATTCTATTTTAAAGTGGAATTCCAGAGAATATTGTGACAATTCATTTTTCCTTTGCCTCAGGTCATCATTGCAGGAGCAGGTCATCTTATAAAGGATTCTAGATGCATTGGTGTCAGTTGCTTTGAGTTGTAGGAAAGATACTTACCTAAACTGAAAGCATATCTGTACATGATGTACACAGAGATCATGCTGAGAGTTTTGCCCTAGTTTTGCCCTAGAAGCAGTAGGAGGAAATGATAATGGATGCTGAGTTTGGCAGTGCATCTGCATTGCAGCTGAGTGTAAGTCTGGATTTGTCTTTAAATATAACCTATTGCAGTGGGCCAAGAAGCAAGAAGGTCTCTGAGGTGAAGCGTTCGCTCGTGTTCTTTAGGGTACTAGTCTAACACTGAAAGTTTGTTCAACCTGCTACAAAAGAGCATGCTGCATTTTTAAAGCTTTTGTGCATGAAGCTCATCTGCCTAAGCCAGTCAGATCTGCCTTAGCAGCTACATGCATTGAATCAGTTCTAAATTAGTAGCTAGAATAGAGTTTTATCACTTCTGCCCTCCACAGGGTATACTGCTGCAGCTGCATCCTCTCTGGCAGATGCCAGGGAAGGGATTAGATCCTGTCTATCTTCTGGGTCTTTCAAGAGCTGCTTTCTCACTGCAGTTGTGATCTTTCTTGCAGTCCCTTTGCATCCTATGTAGGCTGTTGACATCTAGCACCAGAGGCACAGGAAACTTGACCAGGTGCTTGTTAAGCAGTGTTGTGACACACTGCAGTAACTACTAACACTTGCTCCCCCCCTGCCTCTCCGTGTTGAATTATGTGTGTGGAAACCCTTTCTTTCAGGTTAGTTTCATGCTTGACTCTGAAATTTGCTCAGTCTCTTTCTTTCTAAGAAGATATTTAAAGAGTTACAAGAAAGCAGGAGGGCTCGGGGGGGTTTAAATCACTTTGACATTTTCAGGCCTTATTAAGTAATGGGGTTTCAGAAAAGCTATTGCATTTGTTCATAGAGAATAGGCATAATGTATTAATTGCTGGCATTAATGAATGCTGTTCTTTAAGGCTTTGGATTCAAGCGTTCTGGATTGAAGTGATTCTTCCTGCTGGAATTGATTGGTCTCAGCTCTGTTTCATGAAGTAAATTCTTCAGCACAAAGCAAAAGCCTTTGGAAGCCAGGCAAGGCTCACGTGTGCACGTGTTAATCCCATTCTGTGCCTACGTTCAGACACTGTTATTCATACCTCATAAAACCTGAAGTTATTACTGGGAGGTGCCTCTTACACTAATTTAATCAGTTAGGCCCAAATTTTGGAGCTCTGCTTTTAGAAGCTTTTGATATTTCCACAAAGATATCTCAGAGCCGCCCGGGCAATTACGAGTCCCAAGGAACACTATTCCCTGCCTGCACCACACTGCATCCCCAATTACTGCCCACTTCAAACCAAACACTGGGGTTCCTCTTCTTGGAGAGGTTGTTAATTGCATTTCTTTTAATACTAACCCAAGGATTTCAGAGCATTCTGCAGACAAGTGAGCCCCGTGCTGCTTGGGCAGGAAAGGCAGAGCTGGATAGTTAGGTTCCCTACTGGGAATCAAGTTTATAGGTGTTCTTTTCAAGTGGTTTTACAATTAATGAATGAAAACATTAATACATGGTATTCTTTCTCTTTGATTCTTTTTGAGCTCCAGTGTGTGTATGATCTCAGTCTTCAAGTTTTCTTTCCAGTCACAAGCAACCTAAACCCAACGTATTCTCTATAATAATCTATATCTGAAGGAGGCTACAAGGATGCTGGAGAGGGGACTTTTCATCAGGGGCTGGAGCAACAGGACAAGGGGTGGTGGGTTCAAACTGAAACAGGGGAGGGTCAGCTTGGAGATAAGGCAGAAACTCTTCCCTGTGAGGGTGCTGAGGCGCTGGCACAGGGTGCCCAGAGAAGCTGTGGCTGCCCCATCCCTGGCAGTGTTCAAGGTCAGGTTGGACACAGGGGCTTGGAGCAACCTGCTCTAGTGGGAGGTGTCCCTGCCCGTGGCAGGGGTTGGGACTGGAGGAGCTTTAAGGTCCCTTCAACACAAACCAGTCTGGGATTCTATGATCACAAAGTCAACTTCCATGAGGAGATGATCAGTTGCCAGTCTTCTGCCAGCTCCAGGGGATGCCTATCTTGGAGAACATTTATCTGGAGCATTGAGCTCCTGCTGGATAACAGAGTAGCAAATGCAAACTTCCATCCATCTGGAATGCTGAAGGATGAACTGCCTTTCTTCTGCCTGTAAACAGGTATTGATCCAACATTGAATAAAAAGCTGGTTAGTTTTTTATTTATCTGTATTCATGCAAATGGACATGACTTCGTTTGATTCTGAATATTAAGGATAAAAAAAGCCTTAGCTCTTACATTTTGTGTTAGTAGAGCACTGGGGTTTAAGACCAGATACAAAACAATACAAAAGATTTTTGCTCATGATTTGGCCTGTTTATCTTCATGCAGCGACACTAGAAAGGGAGGCTGTCCCTTCTAGGAGAAGAACAGGCCCTGGAAACAGTTGAGCCCGTCTTCAAAGCACTTCATGGATGACTTCAGTGCTTGTGGAAAACCTCCAAGAGACAAGGTGGCAGCTCCTTCACTGTTAAATTATAGAGTCATAGAAACACAGCCTGGTTTGGATTGGAAAGGAGCTTAAGATCATCCAGTTCCAACCCCCTGCCATGGGCAGGGACACCTCACACTAGATGTGTCACCCAAGGCTCTGTCCAACCTGGCCTTGAACACTGCCAGGGATGGAGCATTCACCGCTTCATTTGTTCCACAAAGCAGTTATTTGCTTCTGATTTAAGATCTTTACTGCTGGGAATTAGCTTTGATAAAAGCTGCTGTGGGATGTTTGGCCATTCAGGTGGTAACTCCGCAAGTCTCATAGGGCAGCATATGCAGAAATGAATATCCTCATGCTCAGCCCATCACAGTTTACTCCTTCCTCATATTTAGGCTCGATTTTCTCCATGTCAAGCATGGATCACACCAGAAGGTCAGTTTTTGGAGCTTCCCTTGGATCTTCATGAATAGATAATTTCCAGTTTCTTCCTATTGTAGCACTGCTACTCGTGGGAGCAGCTTCTCATGCGCGTAGTCTTGGAGGCGCTTCTCTGAGTGCTCCTGTAGTAACATTGGTTTGTGGAGGACATCAAACAGGCCTGGAATCCACACTGTGAAGGCAGAGCTTTTCTTTTTTAATATAAGACTTCAAGGTCCCTGACTTTATCCATACATTTCCACTCCGAGTATGTTTGATCACTCTATTAAATGGAATCCTTATGTGGAATTTGGTGCCCACAACACTGGAACCTGTTAGCTGAAACAGAAACCATTCTCTTTTAGGGAAATTAGAGGTCTGACTTTTGAAATTGAAGTGCTTGTCCATCTGCCTTTCTTCAAATAACCTCAGTGTAAGCTTTGAAATGTTTCAAGTACTCTTCCACAAGAAGAGAAAAAAGCACAGGGTTGTGTTAGGAGGGAGTTTTGTTGAGTTTGGGGTGGTTTTTTAGGTGAAGTAGCTGTTGGTTTCAACCACGATGAGTCGAAAGTGCCCCAGTCTGTTGGCTGGACAGCTCTGTGTTACTGGGCTTCCCTCTGAATGCCATTTTTTCACGCTGCAGATGAGAACTCATGCTTACAATGAAGGTATCTTCACTGTGGCTTCTGCCTGAGTTCTGTGCTTGCTGGTTTCCTCGGACACGGAGGAGAAGCATCGTGTGCTGAATGCACAGAAAACAGGGGGTTTTTGATCAGCCTTTTAATTTAGAGAAAGAAAAAGCAACTGCATCCTGGTGAGTGCAGCTGCTGAGGCAGCAGTACCCTTGTGCATTGCCTGGTATCCAGACCCTGGCTTTGCTTTTGCAGACTTCATGATGGTGAAGTCAGTGCTCTGTCTGCCTGAAGAGGTGACTCTCCAGCCTTGGACACCGTGTGGTTTGGCTGGACAGGGTGCTGGGACATGGAACCCCAGACTGGTTCAGGTTGGAAGCGACCTTAAAGCTCCTCCAGTTCCAACCCCACCACGGGCAGGGACACCTTCCACTAGAGCAGGTTGCTCCAAGCCCCTGTGTCCAGCCTGGCCTTGAGCACTGCCTAATGCGTGTAGCTGTGCCATTTGGGAATCCTGCAGATAGCACCAGCAGTGCATTTGTGTGAATCCCTTGCAGATTTTGGAGTTGCTGGGTGAGGAACACTGCTGTAGCTGTTCACTCTTCTCCAGAGCAACCAAGCTGGAAGCAACTGTTTCAGAATGAGAACCACCACCTGAAAAACACTACTCGGGGTAGATGTGACACACTGATTTAGCTTTTCCTGGTGTCTCACCTTTTGAGCCAGATGTGGTGGGGAGGAGGGAAGGGCTGTGAAAGCACAAAGCCAGAGCAAAGCAGGGCCTGTTCTTTGTGCTTTGCATTAAACAGATGTCAGACCTCGATGCCTTTCTGTGAAATGAGTAACAAATGGCTACTGAGGAAAAAGCCTTTACGTATGGACTGCATTAAGACCTAGTGCTGGTAGGCTGGAGTGTTGTGAAAAATGAGTAGGTAAAGGGTAGAGGCACCTTTCCTGAAACCAGCAATGATATATGTAGGTTGGTTATTCCAAGGGGAAATGAAAAGGAGAATGCAGCTTCACAGAATGGGAATTATAAAAGTCTCAAGCAGATGGGCAAAAGGCTTCCATTAATCTTTTAATACCAAATCTTTCATTAAGAGCACAAAAAGCTCTTCCACACCTGCAGAAATCATAGTAAAACCTGCAGCTTTATAAAGCCTGTTAAATCCTTCCAACTGCTCAAACGTTTTCCTAATGGTAGGCTAAAAGGAGAGTTTATTTCAAAGGGAAAGCGTGGAAGAGAGTTTGGAGACAGCAG